GGTAGAGCATCTGACTCGGATTGCCTGAGAGTGCCGGTTCGAATCCAAGCCGGATCGAATGAATTTTTCGAAGTGTTGGATCTTTGTTATTAATAACGTAAACATAACAAACTAATGGAGTACTTTTGAAAAAAAAAAAATTGTATGTCGTGGTAGTAATTTTGGTAGTAAAATATCGTGACATTCACTAAACTTAAAAAATTTGATCTAGCTAACAGGAATTTGGCGCCAATATGCTATAATATGAACATATTACAGCATATGGGCCTATGGAATATGTTTACAATCTACGTGACATTATTATCACTAGTGACACCAGTGAAGTATTCAAGACGTGTGGTGAACGAGGTCGATCGCCGGCTTTCCCCCTCGTGGTAGAATTACCACTGGTGTTAGGTTACCGTCTGTACTACCATGTTGAACTTTGTACACAGGCAATGTGAAGTGTGTTAATGTAGGCCCTTTTATAGGTTATGAATTTCTGGATAATAAGGTAGGTATAGTCAATCATACCCGAAAAGAAGTGCCACTTAAGTTTGAAAATTCTAGAAACTACAAAAATGGACTGATTACTAAGATATGTTAATAATTATTATTTAAGTTTACGTTAAACTCATAGTAAGTAATATAAATACATAACAAAGAAGCATTAGAGTAGAGATATATGTTATTAGTATTTGTCGTCTTTGAAGATGAGTCAAATGACAATTCATTGTGCAAAAGTTTTGCCCGCATGCAAGCACCTAGTACTTGTAGTCGATAAAAATCTATCGACTGAATGTTGGTGACGCTTATACAATAAATAGCCGAACTTGGTTCATTTGTATCATCATCAGCCTATTGTTCGTCCAACTGTTGGGTTCATTTTAATTGTCAATTTTTGTAAGTTCATACATACACACACTGCATTTAAAAATGTTTGTATTTTTAATTGAAAAATACAAATAAGAGACATATTTTAAACTTTTCATTTTAAAGCAACATAGATAATCAAATCCGCCTGTTCTTGTTAAAATGTATATAAATAGAAAAATATTTCGATACTAGTAGGCCAACTGTCAAAATAAGAAAAAAGGAAGCATTAACGCAATTAGTAAGGAACGTCGTGACATTCACAATTCAGACATTTTTGGCAAAATTTTAAGTTCTTTCACAATTTATCGATAAAACTGTCGACAACAACTACATGACTATTCACAATTTTATGAAAACTGGCAACCCTGCAAGTGTCATTTTACTCCGTCTTCAAAAAAAGACAGACTATAGTACTCCTATATAGTACTCCTATATATTACTATATATTGTGGGAGACTGTAGCCCAAACTAAGCAGAGTTTGTGATGTGGGTCTCCAGGCACCCAACCCAGTAAGTGGTACTGACCGTGAAAGTGTTGAGAAAATATATAGATAATATTATAAAAAAAAATATATTGATACTGGCATTTACAAATTAGACCGATATGGTACGTCACGACTATGACAACACGGAAATCAACCAAAATGTTCTAGTAGTTCATCGAAAATAATACAAAAGCTAATATTTTTTTAAATTAGGTACTTCATATGAAATCTGCTACTTACGTATTTATTACGAACATATAAGAATAATACTTCCTTTTATTACCATCTGATAGGAATGTCGGCTTTATCAATGAAAAATTCCGGTTTGGATACTTTTGATCCAAGATCCAGAATATTTAACTCACTTAGCAAATTACATAAAATTACACATGTCGCTTTTCTATTAAGCAAATAAGTAAATTATTAGCAAATTATAAACAGCACAACTTTCTTGTTACTTTACAATGATGCGTCAACATAATTAGAATTACAATTTGGTACTTACTGACCTTTGTAATATTATATTTCGATGGCAGTAATGAGTAACCGGTTATCTGCAAAAACACGATTTTACGGTAGAGCATTATGAAAGCAAAAACTTCAGAGAATAATATATATTATGTATTCTAAATATCTGTATCCGTAAAAATATTTATTTTTAAAATGTTCTACTATATAATCGTGATTTTGCTGGTAGCTGGTTATTTTTTGCTACCGTTGATTTATCTTATCAATGTCATTTTATTATTGTTATATATATTTGTTGTCCATATAAAAAAATAAATAGGTAAATATTATTTACATTACTTGATATGTCTTATTTAATCCGTAATACCAAAGCCATTTAAGTTTTCTTACTATCGCCATTTTGCCGTACCCTGCCTAGTAAGAAATTGCACAATATTATAAGTGTGGCCAATTTTGTAACTCATATTTAGAAGACTTTATCTTAATAATAAACAACATCTCGTCAGCTCCACGAAACGGTTATATCAAACGCATAACTAAGCAGTCTTTAGTGGTAACATTAATGGGATAGTTAATTAAATGCCATCATTATGGAATTTTTTACGAAACCACATTAAAAACATTGACAATATGGTTATATAGATACTATAACGCAATATTGCATAATAAATAAAACAAGCAAGTCTTGTCTTTAAAAACTCTGAATTTAATTTTTCGTATTCAAAGTTCATGCGGGGTAGATACCGCAGAATTACTTTTTCCATAAAGAACTCTAACCCTATCAAATCACAAAAACACTGTAACACCAAAAATAGCATTTAGAGAAAAAAGTTGCAAAAAGGATTATATTTTTATTTTCCAATACTCAATCGTTTATTACATACCATAATGTGTATATACAAGGTGGTAGGTAACAAAAATTAAGTTCATTATAGCCCCTGTACAGGCACAGTAAATGACAAAAATCTGAATAAATTAAACTAATTCTAACCCTATTCTATTTACTGAAGCCTTAAGATTATTACAGGTATATATTGCCCGTTGTGTATTTGTTGAGAAAAAATTTAAATAACATAATATTAATTTATATTAATTTTCTTTTACAATAATATAATTTGTGTGTGCGTTATTATATTATTATTATACATATTATCTGTATTATGTGGTAAATATTATTATGTATATTATTAATTGGACATATTCCAATCATCTTATTCAAGTAGTGTAGAATAATTTGGAGCCACTAAATATGTTTCCAACGGTTCTATAAATCTTGTTTCCGTTTTTATTATTTTTTGTAATTTGTTACAAATTTTAAATTGACATAACAAACGGGCTAGCTAGACGAATGCAATGTTAAACGCGAGCTTGGTGTATTTGTGTAGGAAGGAATATTTAGTCGGAATGTCTTCGCGATTTGTAATTAAGATAATTTTTAATTTGTTACATTAGATATTAAAGAATTCTATCCAGCCATTACAATTTTGCTTTGCACAATACGCTATACCTGTTGAACAACTAATAAATTTGTATTACCTTGGTAACAGGCGAAAGATTCTATATGATACTAAGTGACGGGACGAACAAGTCGCGCTCCGGTTGAAAAGCGATACGCCTGTCCACAACAGTTGCAGTGCCACTTAAGAGTTTTAAATCGCAAAGATCTGAGGGGCACTCCCACTGCGTCTGGCACCCTGAGACATAAGTTGACAAGTCCCATGTGCCTGTAATTTCACACTTCAAAACCGGAACACAGTAATTAATAAAAGAAAGCTCACACACTTTTCAGCAGAAATAGGTAAAGAGCCAGTACTTCCCTGGACGAACATTTTCACACGGAGCTCTACTGTTACTAAATTCGATGTAATGAACTTACAGTGTTTTGGTTGGACACAATAGAACTGCTCCACATTTACTTCTCAATCTTCTACATTATATAAGATATTTTACATAATTACCACGTTTCTTAGTAATTCTCTTCGACATTCATGAGACGAAATTCAGCCTCATAATTATTTAATAAATTACAAGACGCTGTAAAAGAACTAAAGTATTTGAAACTAAATTGAATAATTTGTTACCTAAAGTTATTACAATATTGACGAATTTTTATTTGTCGGTCTTCCATGTTTTTTCCATAACGAATTTGATATATTTTTTTAAATGTTGTATGAAAACATAACTGTACAGTAGCTGTGGCTCTAGAACGCTCTACAATACCAAAATTGTTAAGGACACTGTATGTCTCAAACGTTGAGATACGATGGGTTAAAAAATTGATATAACCTAGTTTAGTTTATAATTATAATTACTATTTAGTACATGTTAGTAAAAAGACAATGCCTTCAATAGGTTTGAAGTGGAACTATACTTATTTTATAGTGGATATAGTGAAACTATACTTCTATACATTTTTTTTTGTTTTTACAAGCTGTGTTCAATAGTAATTAATTATGTTATAGGTAAGATGAAGAAAGAAAGAAAGAAAGGAAGATTTTGTACGTCCTATTGTAATAAATGTTGGTGAACCAAAAATACATAAATTAATAAAAAACAGAATCTCTGTTACCAAACGTCTATGCCAACACAGAACAGTAATATAAATATCACAGAGTAAGCTTATGTACATTAGGCGGCCTTAATGCTAAGTAGCAATTTCTTCCAAGCAACCCTAGGATAGAAATTTAAGAGCCGGAAAGGGGTATGCAACAAAAAATATCTTATAATGGAAGTGTTTTCAATATTTACGGAAATGAATTATGACAAGTTGTGGCCTTTTTCGTTACGTGGTACCAAGCAAATTCGTCGCTTAGCAAACAATGCCCTTTAATTAAAAAATAAAACGTGAATATCAGTTTAAAAGAATGTAACCAAACCAGATACTATTATTTGTTATCTATAAATTCAGCACCTATTACGAACTGTAAGTCTAAAAATTCTAGTGTACAAATATGCAGTTTTTTCATTATTCTTTAAAATTACTCGAAATCACTTGAATGGTTTTGTTTTTTAAGTGACGAATTTTAAATACAAGACTCGAAACTTGATTAATGACATAAAACTATCTAATACCGTACATTAATACATTAATAACGTACACCTCGATTTATTTCTGTTATATTTGACCTTTTTTAATTTTAAAAAGGCCAGATCTGTTATTAATTTATAATAATTGAAACTTTACACACTCACCTTTAAAAAACTCGCTGAAAACGCAACGTCAAATCTTCGAAAAAAACTTGGTTTTCTGTAGTATTAAAATTCACAAATCACCACTCTCTCTTACACTAAATATATCTTTTTTTTTACATCGGGTCTCTGTTTTTATTTTTTCTTTTTCCGCTCGTAAAGCGTGTCGTAGTACGTGTGCTTACGTTCAACGTCTACAGCCAACTATCCGGTGATATTAAGTGCCTACATGTGGAGATGGGACAAGAAAAGTTCATGAATTAACTACTGGATTTATTACATGGCATTTATAAAAAGAAAATCATGTACTAAACATGCTTTATATATGAAAGAAATAGTAATTTAAAGACTTAAAGTGAAAGGTACGAAATTTCACCTGACACGTCCTGGGGTATCCTGTATAATCTGTAATGGAGTAACTGCTCCGTTAATGGTAAATACAGCACTTGCAAAATAGCCGTTCGCAGATAAACATGAAAAACATATTTTTAGATATCTAATTGCTTAGATATCTAAAAAATATGTTTCTTGGTTATTCTCCGAACCGCTATTTTGCAGGTACTGCATTTACAATTAGCAGGGCAGTAATTATTACACAATCTTTCAAGGATTGGAGAAAAAAAAGTCAATGGAAGACTGATAATGGATATTAACTTTTTAAACTTTCGCATTTATTATAGGTATTTAGTAACAGTCCAGCTCCTTGTGAAAGTTCGTCCAGGGAAGTACTTAGGTACTTATTTCTGCCGCCAAGCACTAATGCGAGCATTACTACGTTTCGGTTTTCAAGGGTAAGGGTGCTAGTGAAATTACAGGCACATGTGTTATGTCTCAGTGTGACGGGCGCAGTGGCAGTGACCCTCAGATCTTTACGATTTAACACTCTGAGTGGCACTGCAACTGTTATGGATAGATGTGTCGCTTACTACCAGACACACGACTTGTTCGTCTCTTCACTTGTCATTATAAAAAAAACAATTCAAAACAATTAAATGGCATTTTCACACCTACGTATCATCCCGAAGTTTTAGTGTTAGGTACCTATTATTTTTTGGCATTTATTCACGTCCTGAAATGTTATTTCAATAATTAATGTTAGAAGTTAAATCGTTATTCGAGATTAAAAAAACTAAAAATCTGCCCAAGTTTAAGAAATTTAAATATATTAATTATATTTCATAGGTGTTTCGTAATGTTTATTTTCCGTTCGAATGCGACTAGGTATACACCTACCGCAAGTGATTGATTAATGTTGTAGGCCGGCAACAGCTTTTGCTTCACGCAGCCTTACAGGTCTGTTCAAAACACAACCATAAAGCGAAGACGTCATACATTAGCAATTCGTTTATATTCGGCCAAGTAAATAACGAAATTTCTGATAATTAACCGTTCTAAAATAGTTCTACGTGTTTCTAGCTGATGTTTCTGGAAATCAATACCGTAGAGTTGGTTGAACTGCGGAATTTTTTCGGAACCAGTTTCGGAGAAAAATAAATTCATCTATTTATAAACGAAATTGTATCTTCCCATTGGCTACTGACCTGTTTGCATAATTTAACGCATATCTTCTTATAATTTGACTTGAAAACATCTCTAATAATTTTCGTTTTAGACAAAAACTTTACTATTCAATAAACATACTAATTTAATTGCATTCTAATCAACACTTTCCTAAAAATTTTTACTATTTGTTTACATAGATTGTTATAATTTAAACTTCAAAATGACTAATCGTTTATATCAAACAAAATTAATTAAAATAAAATTAACAAAACAACCAAGGAGATGTCATATCATTAAAATGAAAACTCACAAGAGTTTGACTAAAACATTTAACTTTTGAGCTCCGTCACAACTTGCCAGTAAATTAGAGCAAATTTTCATGATAAATAAATAAAGTCGGCTGTAAATCATTGCCTCATGGAAATTGTTTAATTTCATTTATTTCGCACTAGTTCAATCATCGAACAAATTTTAAAAAGAACCTCATTCCAGAATAGATTTTTAAACAGTGCGCTTCATTCGAAGTTAGCGCTGTCAAAAGTATTCAATCGTTTTCGTCATTCAATTGTTTTTTAAATGTGGAAGCCGATAATTTTGGACGTCGAGTGCATCGTTTGCAACAAATCGTTGCAAAAGATAAACCACGACCCGAGAGAAGTGACGCGAAAAATGGGGAAGATAGCTAACCGTCGTTCCAGAACGCCGAACTGGTCAGTTGATGAGAAGCAGTTCCTTCTAGAGTTAATTAAGGAGCGCAAGGAAGTTGTGGTTAATAAAACTAACAACGGTCCTAATCATTCGGAAGAGAAAGACGTAGCGTGGAATGAAATTTTGCGTGAGTTAGCGACTAGATTCGGCAATAAATTTAATGGGAGCTCTATCAAGAAAGTGAAGACTCAATGGCAGAATATGAAACGTATAGCGCGTGAAGAGATTTCGCTGAACGGGCCCGATGTTCACAAGTACACGCGTCAATCTTTGGAAGTGTGTAACATTTTGGATTTAGTGAAGGATGGCATTTTAAAGCACGAAGGAGAGAGTTTGGGCCTTAACGAAACAATAACAACGAATGTGGAAATCAAGGCTGAACGCATCGACGAGTAAGTTTTTATAGTGTTTAATGGTCTAAATAGTAATAGCAATCGTATTTACGTAATCATTTTATAAATTAGATGATTAAGTTATATACAACGGGGTAATTTTTTGCTTTACTGCTTTAAACTGTTTATAGTTCGTAATATGACATTCTTTTTTTAATTACTAAAATCGTCTTCTACAGTATAAATTAAACAAATATGCAGACATCGGCAAGTGCCGTTGTTAATTCTGTTGGTTGCTAACCTATGGCATGACCACGTAGATTAAATATTATAGATTGGTTTAAGATATGGTTAAGAAATGTACTTTAGCTATATTAACACAAAGCCTGTGTCCGTTTACAACTATTGGTTGGTCATAGGAATATTGATACTAATTTCGTATTGAAATAACGTGAAGTCTTAAAGTCAACAGTAAACGGGCGTGTATAAAAGCGGTACGTCCGGTACGTTTTTTTTCGCCTGGTGGTAAGCGACAAGCCTGTCCATAACAGTCGCAGTGCCACTCAGGGCTTTAAATCGCAAAGATCTGAGGGGCACTGCCGCTGCACCCGTCACCTTGAGACATAAGTTGACAAATCCCATATGTTCAAACTCAAAACGCAGTAAAGCTCGCATTAATGCTTGGCGGCAGAAATTGGTAAGGTGGCAGTGCTACTAAACGTAGCGATTGAAGATTAGTTCCACCCTACTCTTTCCTCGTCTAAAGCAATCGTGCTGACCTCCGCAGAAACCGCCGTACAACTTGCCGTATTCTATCGCGTCCCTACTAAAAAGTTTGGTGGCCTCCATTACAGAGCATGTATTTATTCCCTCTCTCTGGTGATGTGAGTCCAAGCGTGTCCTTCAGAGGCGTGAAGAGGCATCTTGTAGGCAACCAGAGAGGAGGTGGTTGGGCCGGTGATTGTATCAACACAGGTTCCTTCGGGCGTGGATTCCACTTCAGTTGAACCTGTTTATTACGTAAAAACAAAAAGTCCGTACGCGCGTGACAGTATCTGTGTATGTAAAATAACGCATTGCTTCTTCCAGAGAGCAGCATCAAGCAAGTTGCAGCAGTAGCAGCTATATGGAGGTAGAGCCAAGCCAAAATATAGCTCAAAATGATTTAGCACAAGATTCAGTACAACTCAGTCACGAATCAGCGCAACTGACTCATGAACCGTCGCAACTCAGTCAAAGTCAGTTCGAATCCTCAATATCGTCAGATCATTCTGAGCATGAGCAACCAACTGAATATGAACTCCAAGATGACGTAAGAAATGCTACTAAGAATGTCTCTGCTAACACTGAGCCATCTTACTTTGAAGATTTGAACAATATAAATCCTTTTCATAGAGACTTTCAACAGTTTTTCAGGTGAGTGCATACATTTTTCTGTTTTAATCTTTGAAGTTTGTGCCCAAAAATCATTGTATAAAACAACATTGATTGTCGGCTATTTATAAACAGATATCGTTTGTTGGTTTCTACATTTCAAACCTAGTAGTTTTAAGTACTTTCATTCAGTGGCTTTTCGTTATTAATGCTTTGTTGTAGATATACAGCAGCAGAACAGCAATTAAAAATGGATTCGTTAAAAGAAGAGCGCCAAGTATTCAGAGCCATGAGAGAAACTGCCGAACTTAACAAAATAATAGCCGAACAACGCCTCAAACACGTTCTTTGGATCAAGAAACAAGAAATGTCGTAAGTTCTGGTTGTTGTTTATATTTTAGCGGGCATTTTTTACTCTTACACCACCAGATCTCTCAACACATTTTTTTTCTCAACTTCAAGTAGAGGTGTCGGTCTAAGTAGTAACTTGATTGATATGTTATGACGCACTGAACTTTCTCTTGTCTATGATATTCTTAATTTGGATACACGCAACATAGTAACTATTTTAATAAAATGTATGTGAGCTGGAGTTCGGTAAATCACATTTTTAGAAGCCCACGATATCTACGTGTTAATTATCAATATAACAATAGTTCTTACAATAATATTATAACACTAAAATAATAAAATAAATCTGCTATGTACATGACATTTTTTTTAATACGAACAATTTTTTTGATATTATATTAAATTATTGTACCAATACTAATACTATTAATATTATTATTCATATTTATTTCATACTTTGGCCTCTCCCATCGCCTAAAAGATAAACATTTAAATATGGTTGAGGCATGTGCCGCCTCCTATCTGTATGTATACAATATACATTAAAGGCCAACAACTGACAGTACAGTGTTTATTACTATTGTTAGCGAATGGTGTTATTAAGCTATTTTATTTTGTTATAAAACTTTGCTTCATTAAGAATAAGTTTTATCAAAATAAGGAATAAATCGATATGATCGTCATCGAATGATCGATCGGAACGCTAACGGGCGGCCGCCATTACAAAAAACATCTGTGACGAGAGAAGAGAGAAGAAACGTTTTGTTTCGTTTGCATTTATAGTGAAAGATTGAATATAAATTTAAAAAAGTCACTAGTCTCATTTCTATGTCTACTATGAAAACCTCACAGTTCAGAAGTGGAAAAAGTGACCTCGTGGTATAAATTGAGGATTTGGAAAGCAGTGTTACTATAGCATGGATAAACTATTGAATACTTAAATATGAAGTGAGAGTGTGAGAGCAGATCGGTGCCGAGCGGTGCAGCCATCAGATGCTAAAAGAATTGGTACCTATGTTTCTATGGGCAGGCCGTGGCTATATGACTTGAGAGGGTTTCTATGGACAGGTCGTGTTCCGCGAGTGGCAAACGGTAGCCGTTATATGACTGCGAGGAGGAAACCGTGTCCGCGAGTAACAAACGGTAGCTACGAACCGTTTCCCTGGGGTTGCAAACAGAGACTAGAATTGGTGTGCTTATGTGGGCAGATCCGTGTTCTGCGGGTGAGTTAATATTGTATCAAACTCAAACTCAAACTCAAAATAATCTTTATTTCATAGGTAAGCATTATTACACTTGAAATCGTCACAATGGTTAAACTCTACCGCTCATTCGTAAGGCAGATTCCCCTGAGAAGAATGAGCAAGAAACTCAGAAAGAAGGGGTTGCTCTTTGTAAATAGCATTTACAATATTTTTTTTTTTATTTGAAACATCAGAGATCGAGACTACCTCCATGAGCTAAACGGGTTACTACCACGGATTTTTGTCATCCAAGTACGCAGAAGTTGTATAATAACCTTTAGTATAAAGTTTTTGTTTCACTATAGTTTTAAACCTCGAGAAAGGCAAATTTTGTATATCAACCGGAATCTTGTTATAGAAGCTTATACATTGCCCCTTAAATGATTT